TGGGTTCAGGCAATTCTCCTGCCTCAGCCTCCTGAGTAGCTGGGATTACAGGCACGCGCCACCATGCCCAGCTAATTTTTTGTAGTTTTAGTAGAGACGGGGTTTCACCACGTTGACCAGGATGGTCTTGATCTCTTGACCTTGTGATCCACCCGCCTCGGCCTCCCAAAGTGCTGGGATTACAGGCTTGAGCCACCGCGCCCGGCCTTTTTGTATTTTTAGAAGAGACGGGGTTTCACCATGTTGACCAGGGTGGTCTCGATCTCTTGACCTCGTGATCCACCCGCCTCGGCCTCCCAAACTGCTGGGATTACAGGCATGAGCCACCGCGCCCGGCGTGATCCCAGTTTTATAGCAGAAGAAACAAGCTCAGAGGCCGGGCGCGATGGCTGTAACCCCAACACTTGGGGAGGCCGAGGCGGGTGGATCACCAGGTCAAGAGATCAAGATCCATCCTGACCAAAATGGTGAAACCCCATCTCTATGAAAAATTTAAAAAGCTCTGAGAGGGGATGAACAAAAAAGCAAATGAAAGATTATGATTTCTTGAGCACTGACATTAAGACAGGTACACCCCCTCCACAAGCATTTCATGGATTTTTATCAAAGAACACAGTATTTGCAGGCAAATTATGTTCTTTGCTACACCCTCCCTGCCGGCTGCTGTGTTACAGTACTAACCTCGCAGAAGGTAGTACAGAATAAATAAAGTAAGCGGGTAAAACGTTAAGCACAGTGCTTGGCACAGAATGTTTCATAGTTATAAATTATCATTATTAATTGTCGCCTGTGTGTCCTCGGAGGCACACGTGTGCACGCACTCCATCCCACGTGTGGGCCCCCGGCTGCAAGCCCACCCACGGGGACGTGGGCGGGTCCCCCCTGGCGTATTCCGACATGCACAGCCTTCTTCCAGGAGAGGAAGGGGTTGCGGCGGGGGCCTGGGCCACCTCCCCCGCCATTCAGGCACTCTCTGGTTTCCACGTTTCCCTCTTTTCCCCTTTGGCCCCGGCCCAGCCCATCTGGAGGCCGGCTCCGCGGCGGCCTGGGAGCGTTTCCATCAGCTGGGCCCGAGGAATGCGGGGCTATTTAACCTGAGCATCCCCAGGTGTACGGAGGCGCCTGGCTGTCTGGGGCCCGCAGTCTTTGGCACCGCCGCGCTAGACAAACAGCGCGCCGCCCCCGCCCTGCCCCTCAGCCCGCAGCTGCAGCCGGGCCTGGGAACCGGCGGGCGCCGGCGGCTTGCATAAGAGGCTCTGGGCCTCGCAGAGGGAGGGAGGGGGACAGAGGCCACCGGTGTGTGTTGGCGTGTGTGTGCGTGTGAGTGTGTGTGTGTGTATGTGTGTAGCACACAAAACCCTGCACCTTTGGAAATCATTAACTCCTTAACCCCTCCTGGACAGGATTTAGCCAGGAGTTGGGGTAGAAGATGCAGAGAAACCCCAGGACCAAGTTTCTTGCGGACTAGACTCTGCCTTTCTGGGGCTGTAGTTTTGATTTTATTTAACAATCACGGAAAGCTGAATGTGTGCTAGGCACCATACAAAACTCTTTACAATATCCATTCCATTAATTGTCAGAACTTTAATGAGGCCAGTGCTATCATCATATGCTCATTTAAGTAACCACCACCACCACCACAAGAGTAATAGGCTAACATTCTAGTAGGGAGGCAGGTAGAACACAGGCCTAGAATCAGCCTTGATGCTCATCACTTCACCTGTCAGAGCCTTTTTTCTCTTCTTCTTTTATTTTATTTATTTATTTATTTTTGGGACGGAGTTTCGCTCTTGTTACCCAGGCTGGAGTGCAATGGCGCGATCTCGGCTCACCGCAACCTCCGCCTCCTGGGTTCAGGCAATTCTCCTGCCTCAACCTCCTCAGTAGCTGGGATTACAGGCACGCGCCACCATGCCCAGCCAATGTTTTTTTTTGCATTTTTAGTAGAGACGGGGTTTCACCATGTTGACCAGGATGGTCTCGATCTCCTGACCTCGTGATCCACCTGCCTCGGCCTCCCAAAGTGCTAGAATTACAGGCGTGAGCCACTGCACCAGCTCTTTTTTTTATTTTTTAAAGACGGGGTTTCACCATATTGGTCATGCTGGTCTCGAACTCCAGACCTCAGGTGATCCACCCACCTCGGCCTCCCAAAGTGCTAGAATTACAGGCGTGAGCCACTGCACCAGCTCTTTTTTTTATTTTTTAAAGACGGGGTTTCACCATATTGGTCATGCTGGTCTCGAACTCCAGACCTCAGGTGATCCACCCACCTCGGCCTCCCAAAGTGCTGGGATTACAGGCGTGAGCCACCACACCCAGCCAGAGCCTCTTTTCTTATTTGGAAAATGGATTTCAAAACTTGGGCCTCAAGGATTAATTGAACGAATGCACCTAAAAAACATAACACAGGCTCATTCATATTAGACACTTTTTTTAAATTTTGAAATGGAGTTTCACTCTTGTTGCCCAGGCTGGAGTGCAATGGCGAGATCTTGGCTTGTCACAGCCTCTTCCTCCCAGGTTCAAGTGATTCTCCTACCTCAGCCTCCCAGGTGTAGCTGGGATTACAGGTGTGCACCATCACATCCAGCTAATTTTGTATTTTTAGTAGAGACAGGGTTTCTCCATGTTGGTCAGGCTGGTCTTGAACTCCCGACCTCAGGTGGTCCACTTGCCTCGGCCTCCCAAAGTGCTGGCATTACAGGCATGAGCCACTGTGCTGGGCCATAGTGGACACTTAGTGCATGTTGCAATAAAGTGTTTTGAGCCCTTACCGAGCAGATTGTCTCAACAGCTGTATCAGGTGTGGGTTTACTGTTATTTATATATATATAAAAACGTCACCCAGGCTGTGGTGCAGTGGCACAATCTTGGCTTACTGCAATATTTTTGCCTCCCAGGTTCAAGCAATTCTTAGCCTCTCGAGTAGCTGGGACTACAGGCGTGCACCACCACACCCAGCTAATTTTTTTTTATTTTTATTTTTAGTAGAGACAGGGTTTCACTATGTTGGCCAGGATGGTCTTGATCTCCTGACCTAGTGATCCACCCGCCTTGGCCTCCCTAAGTGCTGGAATTACAGGCATGCTGGAATTACAGGCATGAGCCACCTTGCCCGGCCTGTTTTCCTTTTTTTTTTTTTATACAGAGTCTCTCTCTGTTGCCCAGGCTGG